CCCCAAAACCCCAAAACCCCAAAACCCCAAAACCCCAGGGGGTGACTGGGTGGTTGAAAGAGGGGTTAGGGAGAAGGGGAGGTAGGAATAAGGGAAGTGCTGGATTGGCAGTTGAGGGTGTAGATTTGGATTTCGGTGTGGGTTAGGTTTATGGTGGTGCAGAATTGGGTGAAGGAGGGGAGGTCGGAGGGGGATTTTAGGACGTTGAGAGTTAGGTGGTTGAGATGGGTTCTGAAGGGGTTGGAAGCGAATAGTTTGAGAAGAGTGGTGCATATATCACAATCTTTATCTCCAAACGTAATTTGAGTCTTATCAAATGTATAAAGCGCCATTATATCAATTTCTTTGATCTTAATTTCCTTGTTTAACTCTAGTTTCTCTGTTTTGAATTTGAATTGACAACCTTCAATCCCTATTTAGAAAAACTTAACTCAATTTATTATGATATATCAACTAGCACAGCTAAAATACTGATCTAATCAGAATAACTTGTAATCAATAGCAAAAAGCGATAAGATCAGAACTAGCTTGAATATAATATTTTCTTATAGCCTTACTTAATTCCTCAATATTTCTTAGAGTTATAAATATCCTCTTTAGTCTCCCACAAGTAAGTCTCAGCTCATAAATGTGACAAATACTGAGCCTGTTTGATAACAGCCTCATGAGTCCTGAAAAGTGGCTGCTATTAAACCCCCAACTGAAATACCTCTTATCCTTCTTGTTCCTCCTAGTAACTCTATCTCCAACACCCATATATCCCTTCTGGAACCCATCCACCATCACAAACCTGCTTCCCAAATATTTATTCTTCACAAACTTTCTTCTTTCTACACCCATTAGCTCAAAATCGTACCAAAACTAATAGCAAATCACAATAGGCCTTCGCTATCGGAGATGCAACTAATTCTTGGATAAGAGACATCCACCTCTTTGGTCATGGCTCTTTCTTGTTGGAGTAGGGATTCTTCTGAGTCCATTGATTTATTTATATTATAAATGTTTTAAGTTTGACTTTTAGTGTTGGGGTTTTGGGGTTTTGGGGTTTTGGGG